AATCTAAGAGAGCCACCGTCACAGAAGCAGAGAGTAGAATGGTGGGTACCACGGGTCGGTGGGGAGGAAGAAATGGAGAGAGGTTGGTCAAAGGGTATGAAGTTTCAGTTATACAAGTAATGAGTCTTAGAGATCTAATGTACAGCATATAACCTAAAGTACTGGACTGTATACTTAAAAATTTGCTGAAGGGTAGATCTTAGGTTGCTTTTTTATCACAAAAATAAATAAAGACAAGGTAGGTAGGTAAGCAGGTAGGTAGACAGACAGACAGACAGATTTCGATACGGCAGGAGGAAACATCTGGAAGCAAAGGACATGCTTACGGTAATGACTGTGGTGGTGGCATCACAGGTTATCCTAACCTCCAAACTCATCACGGTGTGCACATTAAGCATCTGCAGCTTTTTGTATGCCCATCACTCAAACCTCCATAAAGTGGCTTAAAGAAAGAAAGCACAAATTTGAGCAGAAAAAGGTAAAGAAGGATGAGAGAGACCATGTTGACAGAGGCAATGTGGGTGCACAGGATGACAGGTGAAGGGGGCTGGCACACAGAGCGGACAGACGCATGGCAGGAAATGAGGTTGGAATGCTAGGGAACATCTGGGATGGGGATCTAGGGGCAGTGTCGGGGAGACAGCCAAGGGCCCATGGGGCAGAGCTACGCTGCCCGGGGAGGGGGTTGGACAGAAGCTGAGGGGCTGCCGGGCCAGACCGGGGAGGACCCTGTAGGTCACAGGTGAGGGTTTGTTTTTTCTTATTAGTGATACAGGAAGCCGGAGGGATGTGTGATCTGAAGGACACATTCCATGGGTGACTGTGGACACTTGCGGAGACCTAAGATGGGCTAGGGGGCAAGGGGAGCACAGGGGCTCCCCCAAGACGCCGGTTCTGGCACCCAGGCAAGACCAGGTGGTGCCCTGGACCAGGTAAGTGTTGGTGCACGTTGGTGAAAATATGCACATTCAGCATTTCAAGTGCAGAAGGGACAAGGTTTGCCGATAACCATGGGATGTGCACGGAAAGGCACAGTTCAGATTTGGGGTTTGGCCTCTCCTGACCCATCTCCCCTGGAATCCTGAAAAGTATCACGTGGCCCGCAGTGCAAGTACCTCAACTGCCGATGGAGAATACAGGAAGGAATAAAGCCTCAGACAGGGCCTCCGCACCGTGTTCCTCTCCTCCGCGGACGAGCTCCCACAGCCACACCTGCGTCCCCCAGGCCGCGGGGAGCACTTGTCCACTCCCTGTCCCATCACCCAGGTGTGCTCCAGCCACCTGCATGGTCACGGAGCAGAACACCTGTGCAGCAGGAAGGAACCTACCTGGGAGAATTCACCGTGCAAACCACATCTATTCGTGGTAAGCCAGCGCCGGCCTTCCCCGGGACTTTAGAAAATGACTCCATTGGAATGGACTCTAATATAAACCTGCTTTATGTTGGGTTCTGTGCTTACGACGAGGGGCTCTGAGGAGCTGCCAACCCGCTGGGACACAGCAAGGTGGCCCACCCTGGGCTCTGGAGACTCCTATCGGGGGGCTGGGGCTGGGTCCAAGAAGTTCCTTCATCTCTGAGGCAGGGATGTCCGCGTCATGAAGACCCTGTCATGGGACCGCAGTGATGAGAGCAGGATGTGCTCTGTGTGGTATGGGATCGTACGTTCAGCTAGTGTTTCCAGGACGCCCCTTGGAGCCCGGTTCTGGGGGGCTGCTGGGGCCCAAGGGGGAGCAGGGCACAGGCTCTGCTCTCAGGGGTCCATCCACACTCTACATCAGGTAGCTTTTCTTTCATTACACCAACGAAGCAGCTAGTTCTAGCTCTGCCCATTCCCCGATGCACAGGAAGCCTCCAGGGCTAGAAGAGAACGCTCCTGTTCAGAGCCCTCATCAAACCTCTGACACCGATGCACAGACCATCTCCGGGGGGGTGGGGCTGGGATCTGTATGTCCCCTATTTCCCGCATAAACCTCCCTTTGCCATGACAACCGCCTAAACAAGGCAAATGAGAAATGAAATTCTGACAAAAACAAATAAAATACCACTAAAGTTTCCAATCACTGAGAAGAGATGTATTTTTCAAGTCAGCGCGACTTTTCAACCAACGAAGAGTCCACCCCTTGCAAGAGACGTTTCTGAGATGAACGTCCTCCGGGGCATCCGATCACCAGGAAGCCAAGCACACGGGACACATGTGACTGACACCCACATCGGGCCAGCGTCGTTCCCATGACCCCAGACAGTGACCCGCAACACAGGGGCTCGACCAAATACAAGACTCAAGATTGTGGTTCACAGCTGGAACCCAGTTTAAGGCTTATGTGTTTAACTCAAGGTCTTACGAGTTAAGGTACTTTTAGTAGTGACACCTTTCTGTTCCTTGGGAAGGGAAATTTTAGTTGCTGTGATCATGGATTTCATCTCCTGGGACACAGGCTTCCGCCCCTGCCTGATTCCTCCTCTTGCCTCCAATCTGTCTAGACAGCATGCCCAGTTGAGCCGGGCACCCCTTAGAACCCTCATGACAGCATCTGACCTCCACTGTACACAAAATCTCTACTCCTTTATAGTTTCGCCCCCACACACTTGGTGACTGATGTCACACATTATCCTGTTCCCAGTAACACAGATTTATAGTATTTGATGCTTTTACCTTTATATCTTGTACAAGAGTAAAAAGTGAAGTTACAAACCAAAATATTCCCTTTCACTCTATCATCCTCCCCAAACCTCCGATCATTCCTTGTTTGCATATGCGCATGTGCACACACACACAGAGTTTCTCTTCTCACTCGTTTTCAGCAAGCTTCCATAGAGCAGAGAATAGCTGTTCAGTCTCCTAAATCCCACAAAATAACCTCTCTCAGCGTCTTTCCATCCACTCGGATTTCCATCCCTACAACTCCACTGGACCAGCTCTCTGGAGGCGACCAACCTAAGCCCTGCATTCTCCCACTTCCTAAGGATCCAGGCAGAACCGCTCACTGATGGCCTTGACCGCCATCTTTATTAAGGGTAAGGTTGAAAGGTTTTGTTCACGCTCCTACTGAACTTGTCCTTCTCATTTTCTGAATCCTACAGCACATTTTCATCTGACGTGTGACTCAAACCAGGCATCTCTACACCTGTACACATCATTTTACCCCTTCTCTGAACACATGTTTCTCCTGACTTAGTTCTCATAATCTCATCAGTACTGACCAGGATCGTCATTTGTTCTTAAGAGCTCAGATTTCTAATCTATATCCTTTAAACTCTCTCTCTACATTTCTTTACTTGTCAGGTTCTTTAAATTCTCTCCTTTCCCCATAAGTAACACCCCAAACTTTTCTCCCATCTGTCTGAACGTTGTAATTTCATTTTTTTTCCCTCCAGAGTCATGCTAGTCTTGGATGGGTTACCTCCCAACTGTGAGCAACACACTTCCAATAGGTCACTTGATTGCAACCAGCCCTCTACCCTTTAACACATGGCTTCCAGATTATTTGTCTAATACATCACTTTGATCATGGCATCCTCGTTCTCAAATATAAAGGCTGTCTATTAAGGAAAGTGCATAGTCCTCACTCTGTTAGATGAGGTCAAGCAGAATTTGGCCTCAGACAACCGCGGCTGTCTCTCTACATTCACCTTTACGACAAGGTCAAACTGGACTCCCACCACTGACCTTGAAAGGACACTGTGTTTCTCTTGCACTGTTAATACCTACAGCAGCTTTCGATCAAACTTTTGCCCATCCTCCAAGATCCATTGTTTGTGAACATGGCTCCAGGAAGCAGTTCTACTCATGCCCATCAGAACTGACCTCTCAGTTTGCTGGAGTAGTAAAGCAAAGGCTCTGTTGTCAGCTAGACCTAGACCCCATCATTGCCCCACTACTTAACCTGCTCAGAGCCACAGCCTGTAGGTGATTTCTCTTAACCTTGGTTTTCTAATCAGTGAAGTAGGTTATTAACTGGCCGCCTTACAAAACCGCTATGAAAATGAAATGACATGGGTGTTAAATATCTACTAGAGACCCTCATACATTCCAGACACTTAATAAATACGGCTCTGCTGTCCGTCATCTGAGGGATCTCTGCGGTTTTTCTACTTTTCTTAGGCATGCATATTTTCACTTCTGTATATTACCTACTATTGTTCCAACATAATTAAAGTGTCACAAAATAATTAAACCTTGTTTCATTAAAAACTTGGTGCATAAAGGAAAACAAATATGGAAGTAAAAGATAAGGCTGGAGTAAAGTGAGAACATATGGGGATAATCACTCTGCGTTTACTCCCACATGGACTGACGCTTCAACGAGTCTATCTTGTGAATAAATTATAATGGATATGGCCTGTCAGTGCTTATACAATTGATTTCTTTCTTACCTTTTTAAGAAACTGAAAGAATTTGATAAATTACATTTATCCCACCCAAGGGAAGCAAATAACATCCACTTAAATCAATTAATTTCACTCTGGATTCCAGAAATGAATTTGTGTCAATTTTTCAAAGTAAGTCTTTTTCAAATAAATACCAAATAACGTCATTATTTCAAAATACGAAAGCACAGGGGGTAAGTCCTCAACCAGCTTAGATAACTGATGAGTTGAGGGCCCAGCACAGAACAACAGATTATGATGTTCACCTTCCCTACATCATGGGTGATCTCTACTGTCTACAAGAGTATTCCATATAATAGTGTTCTAAAAAAGAGAAATTATTCTTGGTTCTGTAAGATATTAAAGTCACGAAGAGGGAACTCTCAGTCATCTTTAATCCCCTTCACTGTGCAGATTTGGTCATAACTGCAAGAAGCTAAGAACAGTTAATGGCCCCAAACAGAGGCAAATAGGGCCCTACCACTTCGCATGTATTTATATACAAACAGACTGCCCTATAAAAACCTTCTCACCATGCTTCACGTTCATAGGCTTGATCTTTTCTGCTTCTTTCACCTTTAAGAACATTGTCTTTTGAGAGCAACGAATGATGATGCATGAAAAACATTACCATATTTTCTCCAGTCCTGGTCAGGGGGTAAGTGTCTCCACAGTATAAGGTTGTTCAGATGATTTAAGTATGAAGGTAGGGAATGAAAGCCCTTCTGATTGTACCACACCTAAAAAAGAAAGATAACATTATGGCTCTCATGAAATTAGTTCCTAATCCTTCGTTGGCTATTCCTGGGCACAAAGGACACGTGTCCGTTAGGTTCCACGGCACCTGAACGTCGGACCCGGCGCCGTGTCCCCGCATGGCTGGCAGAGAGCAGTGAATTTCAGTCCGCTAATTTTATATTTATCCCAAGCATATAATTTCCAGCTAAAAATAGATGAATTTTCCCCAGAACAAATGCGAATGTTGCTCTATAATTATATTCTCACAGCGAAAAAGGAACCTAAACCCATCATTTTTTTTTTCTTTCTCAGTTGGTAAGCTAATAAAATTTGACCTGCAAATTAAAAGCGGAGAAAATGATCAGAAAAAAAATGATTACTTTCAAATTAATAACGGAATGCAGAACATTATTTCTCAAAATAAATTGGACTGAACATTTGCTGAGCGTGGAGAATAAAGTAGCATGCTTGTCAGACAGGCAGAAGATGGAAGAGAGGACAGGAGACAGACAATGTTATTAAAGCCGAGATAATAAGGAGCAGGAAAAAGTACTAATTGAATCTCAGTATCTATATTTCAAGGTATCAATATTTTAATGAACTTTTTTTTTTCAAAATACACGCAGTTCGGAAAGCTGGTGAGGTGTCTTCGAGAAATCTAATGACTCAACTGGCAACTTGTGGTCTTAATTCCATCCACGGGACAGCTCATTTCTCTAGACAGTGCTGTCTTTTGTGACAGACAACCATTCTCTGCAGAAGCAGAGCTGTTCCCACAAAGTTGGCGCTCGGAGGAACCAATCCAGGTCCTCACAGTTTGCAAAGTTAGGAGACCACACCTCAAGTCCCTTGCTTGCAACTGCATTTCTTTGCCGCATCATCCCACTAGGATCGTCTTCCAACCAGGGTCCTGGGAGGCAGCTGTTGTGCCCATGGCAACAGCTAAGTAATAAACTACTGCTCATGTAGTTTCAAAAAGACAACTCGTCTACCAGACAAGGTTCCCCGAGTCTTTCTCGGGTAGCTCACTTCCTTCAGCAATTCAGAAAACAGACCCCTTATCTCTTCCATACCAGCTACCACTACTCACCCTTCAAATAGTTTCTTCAAATAGTTTAAGGTCATAGAGAAATTTTTTTGCCAATCATTTTTTTTTTTAACTCCAAAGAGGAAGGAATCACACCTGGGTGCTGTTAACCACAGGAACCAGGACATCCTGGGGTCTTCTAGGGTGCGTCTGAGCAGATCTAAGGATTGCCTAACAAATTATTTTTATATTTCTTATTTTTTTGTTTTTAGTAAGCTCTACGCCTAATGTGGGGCTTGAACTCATGACCTCGAGATCAAGTGTTGCACGCTCCACCACCTGAACCAGCCAGGCACCCCCTGGGTAACAAATTTTTAAGACACAGATGTGTATTCGCAAATTCACAGATGTGTGTAATTCAGACATTTCATTCTGAGAAGTACGGGAAGGCACAGTTTCTGTGACAGGGAGGTTCACACTGACCCACGGGCTCGCATCCCAGAGCAGGGGTACCTCCTGCGTCCAACAATGACTCCTCCCACGCAGACCCATCCTGCCACCCCTAGGCTCGCACACACAGGTAACAGCCATTTTTCTGGAAATGACAGGAAGCTGGGATCCTGCTGAAGTCAAGGGGCAGGTGGATATAGTAGGAAAAACCCTGCCAATGGACACCGGAACTCCCGGGATCACTGTCCGTGACCTTACTCTGCCCCACACCGTGGCTCCCTGACCTGCTTCACCACAGGGAAAGAGGAGAGACTATGGTGGTCTTTTCCCTAGGTCAAGGGTTTTCTATTTTCATTTTGTTTCATTTGTTTGTTTTAATTTATTTTAAAAGCAGGGTGGAGCTTTTTTCAACTTACGAATGATACGGAACACAGGTATGGAGACCCAAGTGTCACGGCTGCAGTCGGGTGGCAGGGTGGCCCGGAGCCCATTCACGGCCCGCCCCACTCTCTGGGGGTTCTGCGACACCTGGGTTTGCATTTACAGCCCCGCTTCCTCACCTTCCCTGTATCCACACCTCTACACCCTCTGTGCGGCTCTTATGCCTCCCCCTCTGACCGTGGGCTCAGTCACGTGGCTCGCTCTGGCCAACAGAATGTGGCACGGGATGGGTTTGAAAAGGGCTCACCCAGGCCTGCAGCCCCTCTGTGCCTCTGCTGAGCAGAGTCCCCCACCGTCATGCCGGGGAGGCCAGAGCCAGCCCACCACACGTGACCATGACTGGCCAGGTCCATGCTGCTGAGCCTCGAGCAGGAGGATCCCTGGACTCAGGAGCTGATAAAGGTTTCTGTGGCAGCCACAGAGATCCACGGCAGGTCTTACACAGCAGTCTTGCGGCAGCGGGTGACTGATACACACATTGGTACCGCGCTCATGGGAACGCCGTTACCGTCACAAACATGGAAAATATACGGCATTGGTTTTAAGACAAGCATGTGGGTGACAAAGAGACACTTAGAGAAATCTGGAAATTACAGGAGAAAAACTTTAGAACTGCAAGGGGGGGAAATGGCAAGAAAATTCCTACCCATAACAGAAGAGATGCAGTTCAAAACATCTGGTAAAATCGTCACCTGTGGTAACTTCAAAGATAGAAAGTGTGCCCACCACACTCCTTAGCTGGAATTTGCAGATCTGGAGACAAAATGTCAAGAAATAGCCCCAGAATGGAGACCGAGTCAGGGGTATGGCAGCCAGAAACTCCATGAATAATGCTGCAAGGGTGGTAGAGCTAAGTGATCCTCTCAGGGGGACAGAAGATCATCTGGGGACCTAAGGGGGGATGCCTCGCCGTACCCTGACATTCCCAAAACACCAGGGAGTCCATTTAGAGGGCGCAGCGTGTCTCAACAAGAACCATGTGCGGCCATGGACCTCGAGCGGATAAACAGCCCCCAGGGCTTCCCAGGGAGCAAGGTCAGGAGGGTTCTGCCAAGCAGACAAGACAAACAAAAGGGCTCTGAGCCCAGCTCTCTATAGGCAGGACGCAGCCTGTTGCTCAAAAGGCATATTTCCAAATGTCCCCTCCACAGGTGGCCATCGAATATGATGAAGAAGCAAGTGACAGAGAGCAGTCAGTGGCCACGGAGAAGGTGGAGTGAGACCACGCCCCAGGAGCAGGACCAGCGCCGGGTGAAGGAGCGTCTGCATGGGGAGGGACGCCTGGAGTGCTTGCTGAGCACCGGCCCCAGGGACCTGTGAGCTCAATGAATGTTCCTTGTGGATGCTATTGATGGCTTATGGTTGTTTGCCATATAGAATCACCTTGACAGGGAGTGATTAATTCACGGGGGCGGGGGGGGGGATACTCTTGAATATTTGAACTTGAATATAGAACTGAATCTTCATTTCAGTTCTATAAACTGGCCCTTTCTTGGGAGGAATTTTAAATTCTTTAGGTAAGCAATACACACTTTAGGATGATCTGAAAATGAACATTCCAGACTTAGCAGAGTCCAAAGGAAGAGCTTTTCTGTCTTTCTTTCTTTTCTTTCCTGCTTTCTTTTCTTTCTTTCTCTTCTTCCCTTCTTTCTTCCTTCCTTCCTTTCTTTCTTTTTTTTCTTCTCTGAAGAATGATTTTCTAAAACATGAGGCTGTGTTCTGGAAATAAGATGTGGGATTTCCTTCCCTGCCAGCCCATAAGTCAGGACACGGTAAAATCCGGTAACTGATGGAGGAAGTTAATCTGCTTTCAGAACACATTATGACACCTCAAAACAGACCCTTCCTGTCAGGAATCATGAGTAACAGTGTCTCAGAAAAGCAACTAAGTAGCTTCAAGGGGGAAAAAAATCACTCCATGGATATTCAAATTTCTCAAATTCTACTGAGCATCGTAGAATGTATGCCAAACCCCAGGAAGGGAACTGTATCTGGCCTTCTTATTTAAAGTGCATACATTCTAGAAGGCATTTTGATTAAACAAGCTAAACGCTCCAGATGGAACGAAATTAACTCACGAAGGTCCCAGGACAGGCATTCTACAACATAATACATTCATTCATCCTAGGTCTATTTCTATGCAAATTTCCCATTTTGTCTACAAAAAAGCTATGAAAATCGGACAGCATCTTATGAATGTATCCTAAAGGCCAAAGCCACGGCCGGTGGTTAATTCCCAAAAAGTGAATGCAATGATCTGACATGACGTCAGCCACCAAGAGCACCTCAGGACCTGCAGACAGCAGACGCCCTTCACAGCTGCGGCGGCACCCTGATTCCCTAACTCCCTACAAAGGGGCTCGTTCCCCAGACACCCCGATAACACACGTGCATGCCTGCGCCTGGCAAAGGACAGTAGAAACCGCAGAAGTGGGGCGCCTGGGTGGCTCAGTCGGTTAAGGGTCTGCCTTCGGCTCAGGTCATGATCCCGGGGTCCTGGGATCAAGCCCCACGTCAGGCTCCTTGCTCAGCGGGAAGCCTGCTTCTCCCTCTGCCTCTGCCCCTCCCCCTCTCCCCCTGCTTGTGTGCGTGCTCTCTCTCTGTCAAATAAATAAATAAATTCTTTAAAAAAAAGGAGCAGGTATCAGGGAAACTCATAAATCACATGTGTCCTCATCACCGAAGCATAGACCCGGGAAGCCCGGACTGCTGGGCCCCACACGTCTGCACGCAAAGACACAACCACCTGCTACGAAGAATGTTTTGGACTGGTATAGATTAAAAAGGTAAAATATTCTCAGAGGAAATTCCTTCTACCACTTTGCCGTATTCTAACACTGGCCATGTCAGATGTTCGAGAAGCCAGCGAAGGTATTTTAGGTGATTTTTGTCCCGAGCTATGAATCTTGACATTTTCCTCAGGAGCTATAAATATTCTCCTGTGTGCTGCCCACAGAGGAAGAGAGATTTGAAGAAACCTCAGCTAAAGAAGGGATTTGTGACCAGCTGTACACAACAACGGAAATTCTTCGTCAGCGACTACCTAGTGAAATACGACGGTTAAAGCTTTCGTCGGGGATCATACTGTGAAGCATGAATGTGAAAATGTTCCTCAGGCATTACACTGTGAAATACTTGTGAAGATCCTTGATTCCACCGAGGGGAGCCCCAGCAGGCACACGCCCTTACCCTGGTCCACGAACGTCCCACCACAACGTGGGCAGGCTGCCTTCCTGGGCTCACAAAGCTTGACCTTATTGCATTCATTATACAACAGGTTTGTGAGCAGACCCAAAACCACCACAGTCTACTCTCCAGATTTCTCTCTCAGTCGGGACCAACACCGGACCAGTTCACCCATCACTGGGAATGAAAGCTTTGAATCTCTGGTCTTTCCCCATCTGAAGACCATGTTAACGTCTTTCCTCAGAGAAGCTTCTGCTATGATTCACCACCTCTGAGTTCCCGCTGGTGGATGAAGGCATTTTTCCTCTGATCTACTCTTCATTCCCACACAACTGAAGCGTCCTCCCACGTATTCTCGGCAATGCCGAGGGAAATGTTTCTAATTCACTGGGATAGTCCCAGCAGGGCTTGAAAACCCAGACCCCTGCTAGTAGTCCTGAGTAGATACCTCTTCTCTGTGCTGGCTGTGGGTCCAACCAGCCTTCTGGAAGAAGGGCAGTTTTCAGGGCATGTACGGAAGAGTTCCTGAGCCACCAGGGAAGCTAGCCTATGTTTTCAGTTATTCTGACAAAGGGTGTTTTTAAAGATGGGTGATCTTTTCATTTGCTTTAGCTCCATTAGGTGAATTCTGGTCTTGACAAAAAGCAATAAATCTACTTGCTACATTGCTCTACAGTCTAAAGGGAAGCAACTCCTTTTCTCTTTTGTACATCTGTTTTTATTTCATAGTAACAAACACTGGGGTCCGATTCGGTTCCTCTCATACCCAGGAATATATCTGCATGCCAACTTTCCCTAGATGCTCCCAGGAAGGAAACACAGGAAGGAAAAAGAGGGAAACTCTTACCTTCACCAGAGTGTCTGGTTGCGATGTATTTGGTTTTGCCTCTTGAACTTGATCAGGGATCTGCACTCCGAAAGACCAGCCTCCAAGCCTGACAACAGGAACAGCTGTTAGTGCTTTATTTTTTATTTTGTTTACTTCTTATAAAGATTTTATTTATTTATTTGACAGAAAGAGAGCATGAGCAGGGGGAGCAGCAGAGAGAGAGGGAGAAGCAGGCTCCCCGCTGAGCAGGGAGCCCAACGCGGGGCTCGATCCCAGGACTCTGGGATCATGACCTGAGCCAAAGGCAGACGCTTCACCAACTGAGTCACCCAGGTGCGCCCAGCTGTTAGTGCTTTACCCAGCAAGCCAGGACTTCCAAGCAGAGGGCACTTCGTCACCACTAACTAGTTATGATGGCCTGAGAACAGCAGTCCCCTGATCGTCCACCTTCAGTGACACCCCACAGGTGTTCAGGGCACAGAAGGGCACGGCGGGGCTCCTGGGTCAGGCATTCATGGAGGACCCTGTGTATTCAGCAGGTGCAGCTAAGGCTTGTCATACCAGAAAGTGTCCTTCCAGGACTGATATTTTGTTAGGAAATGCACATCATGTCCAGGACTTGGCTGTGATCACCAGCATGCTAACTATTCTAATTAATGGTCACTCCTCCTGCAGATTGACTATTCCAACTTACATAATCCGCCACTCTTTCAAGCTATCCCGTTTTGCACTGTTTTGCTTCCCTACTCTGGCTTCTTTCATCTCCAATGCAAATATCACCCCGTTCAGGAAGGTGTCCCAGAGGACTTCAGTTGGGACCGATTTCCTCCTCTTTTGGGTTCTCACAACACCTGACATCTCCAACATTGATTCAACTGTCACCCTGGTTTTAACAGTCTGTCTGCTAGTTTATCGTTCATGCAGCTCTGTGAGTTTCCCTGGGTGGGGACGACCCTTTTTACCTCCATATCCCATGGGCTGTGTAGTATCTGGAACCTATGAAGCTTCCAAAACTATCGGGCATTAGAAATGAAGGCTCATATTTAACTTTGGTTCTCACTCTCTGGATAGAGTAAGACTGAAGAACAGCCTTCTCTCGACAGCGCCGCTGCCCTAAGCAGAAACTGATGCAGAGGAATAAGGATACATTCCCACTGGGCTCAATGCATTCATTCACTCAAGGATGAATTCATTTAAGAGACATTGAATGAGCACCTTTTATATGCCAGATATTATTCTAAGCCCTAGGCATACAAGCCCCCACCTTTGAAAAACAGAGATTCTGGGACATGTAGAAAAATATAAGAGATGATCTTGGGGTGTCTGGATGGCTCAGTCAGTTGAGCTTCTGACTATTGATTTCTGCTCAGGTCGTGATCTCAGGGTCATTGGATCGAGCCCTGAGTCGGGCTCTGCGCTCAGCAGGGAGTCTGCTCAGGATTCTCTCTCCCTCTCCCTCTCTCTCTCAAATAAACAAATCTTAAAAAAAAAAAAAAAAAAGATGTAAGAGGTGAGCAGCAGGAATGTCAGGTGAAGCACAGTGGGGTCGGGAGGTGTCCAGGGAGGAGATAGCTGAGGGAACATCAAAGATAAAGAGGAGGCAGGTCAAGGCAGGGGGTATCCCAGGCACTGCAGACGGATGGAACTAGGATGTTTCTGTATTAAAGCAACAGGATGGTCTACGGCCATACCACCCTGAACGCGCCCGATCTTGTCTGATCTCGGAAGTTAAAGCAACAGGATGTGTTTGAGGTTCCAGGAAATCTGATGGAGTGGCAAACGTGTTCCCAATCTAAAGCAATGAGCAGCACTCACCCCCACACTCCTCGTCCAGATTTGCCCCCTTAGGCTCAAGGAAATTCAGCACCAAACAAAAGCCTTCCCAGAAAATTTCCAGGATAGCAGATGCACCCACGTTCACGTATCGGATGCTGCATGGTAGAGGGAAATCTCAAGGGAGGCTGTTATTTCATTTATGCTGGGAAGTTAGTTGCAATTATTCTCCAAAGAGGTAAAACCGCCTTTTGGCTCCCCTGAGTGAATCTCCATTGATACAATTTCCCCCCACGTGGGAGAGTGAAAGCCAGCAGTAAGGAATCTTATTAAGGTTGGCAGCATTTCTTTGGAATTTTTACAAGCAACAACATTAAGCATTTGACTTTTGAGTTTTTAAGAATGTTGGCGTTTATC